TTAAAATATAAATATATAAAAATATTAAATATATAAAATATTATATAAAATATATAAAAATATTATATATTTTTATTTATTTTGATTTCTTCCAAATTTTTGTCTTTTCCTCGATTTCTTTAAGGGAATTTCTCATTTCCTTTGTAAGGGTCTCTGTCATCTTTATAAAGCTATTTTAAGCTCATTTTCTTCTCCTTCATCTGTGTTGGGATGTTCAGGTCTTGCTGTTGTACAACCACTAGGTTCTGGTGGTGCCACATTGCTCTTTATGTTATTGAATGTATTCATCCACTGCCATCTACCCATCTCTTTTTTCTAATTGGTGCAGGCGGTGGTTGTGTCTTTAGGGGCTGCTGATCTTGAGCAGGATGTTTGACCAGGGCGAAGGTGATGGATTCACTGGGTTTGGGTGACAGAGTGGGTCTTACAGGTTAGTGTCCAGTGATTGGGGATGGTAATAGAGCAGCCTGTCAGCAGGACTCTTACCTGCTGCTGGGAGATGGGAGGGGGAAGTACAGGGAATGTGCCCTGGGGCTTAGGGCCTAGGGAATGGGGTAGTTTAGCTGGGAGACCTGTCACTCACTTCTTCTTCCAATTGGTGCAGGCAGTGCTTGTGTTTCTAAGGACTGCTGATCTTGAGCTGGATGTTTGGCCAGGAGGGTGATAGGCTCAGTGGGTTTGGGGGGTAGAGTGGGTCTTGTAGGTTCTCAGTGAACTTTCACTGTGAATTCATTTATTAATAATGTATGGATGAGGGTCTTACCTTTGAATGACATTTCTAGATGGTAGCAGAGCTAACCAGACAACAGCTTTACTGACTCTACTGTAGCTCAATCTGAGAGTTTTAATAATTATCAACAGTTATTCCAATTTTCTTTAAAAGTTTTTTCCCATAAATATGCCAGCAGTGGTAACTCAAAGCTTTGATAGATTGCTAGGAGGTCAGCGGCATAGTGAATTCTCAGAATGTGTCAGGTCATGGTTTCAGCTCACAGCAGGGAAAAAGTTTTTAAGACAGCATGCAAATAGTGGAAACTATTGACTGGGATGCAGAAAGCAGCACTCTACCATAAAAAAATTGTCCTCATACACTAGAGTTAAGAGTTGGGAGGCAAGAAGTTTATGAGAAAAGAAATGGGATAATTCCAGGGCCTCCAAGGATCTCTCCTAATTTCAATATTGCTGTGGAATAATGCTTTTTTACACTGTAAATATTTATCACTTGTATTGGTTTAGTAAAACACTGATTGTCCAGTTGCCAGGTAAGAAGTATATGTGGGGCGACCAGATGAGGAGAATTCTGGGAAAAGGAAAGGCTCAGTCTACAGATGCCACTCAGATGCAGAGGAAGCAAGATGAAAACGCTGCACTGAGAAAAGGTACGAAGTCACTTTTTTAAACATAGATAAGAATTATGGGTTAATTTAAGTTGTAAGAGCTAGCTGATAATAAGCCTGAGCTAAGTGGCCAAACAGTTTTATAATTAATATAAGCCTCTGTGTGTTTCTTTGGGATTGAATGGCTGCAGGACTAGGAGGGACAGAAACTTCCATATACCTAACACTACATTAACCAAAGAACTATAATCTAATGATTTAGTAAGTTGGTTGTACAGCAGCTACATACAAACTGAACTTAACCACTGAGACTACAAATATTTAGCCTTCTTGTCATCAGTTCTCTCACAGACATTTCCTTCTTTGTCTTTTTTTCTTCCTTTATGTTTGTGTCCAAATGTATGTTTGTGTACCACATATATGTCCAGTATCCTAAATGTCAAAAAAAGGAGTGAGATCCCCTAGAACAAGGACAGTTGTGCACCACCACGTGGGGCTAGAAATTGAACCCCAGTTCTTCCAAGAGTAGAAAAAATTCTGAACTGCTGAGCCATCTCTCCAGCCCCCATCATTTTTTAGCACTCTTCCATCATGTAAAATTCAAGTAGTTCATCCATTTGGGTTGTTTGTTGCATAAATCCTCTGTCCTAATAGTCAAAATCAAATTAATTTTATTATTGAGCTGAGTTTGGCAGAACGTGTTTGTAGGTTCATAAAATTCAGAGACAGACAAATCAGTACTGCCCAGCTGCAGAGTAATCTGTGCAATATAGAGAAATTTCATCAAATATAAATAAACATATGTTGTATAGAACATGGGGTCATCTCCTAGGATTCTAGCTACTAAGGATCATAAAGCTGGACAATCATAAATTCAATGCCAGCCCAAATGTACAGGTTTCTCTGTACAACTTCACTATTTTACCAGGGCCTTATGTCAACATGTAAATAAGAGAATTTGGATATTAGCTTATTGATAGATACTAATCTAATGTGTGAGGAGCTGCCTTCAAACACAAAAACGAGGAAAGAGAAATTTCACTTTAGTGGTTTAGAGAAGAAAAAAGACTTGTACAGCTACTTATTCCTACAAGTATTCCTGGAAATCATGACAAAAGTATGGCTTTTCAACTGTTCCCAATAAAAATCAATTTGAGTGTTCTCAACATGGCTGCTGCTGCCGGCCCTGGACCGTTTCTAGCTGTTTGTTGCTAACAAGAAACCTGTGATTTTCCGCAGGAAAGCTCAGGTGACACAACAATTAAGCTCCAGTTCTGAAGTTTCAAGTTTCGTACTGTTTCCTGCATTGCCCTTAGTCTGCAGTATTAAGTGTCAGAGAAAATGACAGACAACCGGGAATTATTAAACTGTAGAAATCAAAGTTCTAATGTTTGAGCTAAAAGAAGTGTTGCCATGTGTAAACTGACAAGGTCCTTTTAGTCATTTCCACCTCCCCAGGCGCCGTCAACTACAGAAAGCTCTGTGTATAGAATGACATGAAAGAGCCTGTACATTTTATAAGAAATGCATTCCATTGTAACTTCCCATTACAGCACCAGGGCAGCAGTCCTTGCCTTTGCCTAGACAGGTCTGTAATCGTGGTTACTCCTCAACCCTGACAGGAACTTACCTTCCATTTCCTTACAGTCTTCCTGCCTGCTCTCATCTAGACCCATACACGCTTGGTTCATAGTTTCTCAGCTTAGGAACAAATGCAAACTGCTACTGAAACCATCATTGGTAACACAATTCTTTCAAGGGCTAAACTGAAAACCACAGTTAGCTGAGGGTACATGATAAACTACACCTTCCTGAAGACCTTTTGTTTAACCAAAGGGGATGTTTTATTATTAAAACCCACAATCAAAGCCCTGAGAGAAAACATTTTTTCTAATAATTTATTTATTTTTTTATTTTATGTGCAATGGTGTCTTGCATGCACACTTGTAAGAGGATGCTGGGTCCCCTGAAAGTGGAGTTACAGATAGTTGTGAGTCTTCATGTGGGTGCTTGGAACTGAACCCAGGTCCCCTGGAAGAGCAACCAGTGCTCTTAACTGCTGAGCCATCTCTCCAACCTGAGAATGTATTTTCTAAATGACAATAATTTGACAATTATCTTCAACAATTTCAATGAGTTATACTTTATCTTTCTAAAAGTTGTTTCAAAATAAGTTTGGTAAATGTTAAGTATACAACACTATTATAAATTTCTTTTTATTAAAGTTGTTAGAAAGAATCCTAAGAAATTTATATTCCAGATTTCTAGTTTCTAACACAAAATTTCAAATTTCAGTATCTATTATTTTGTATATTATAAATAAATTAGATTAGGAATATTCCTCATAGCCAGGTATGGTGGCACATGTCTTTAATTCCAGCACTTGGAAGGCAGAGGCAGGAAGATCTCTGTGAGTTTTACGCAGAGTTCCAGTTCTACAGTGAGTCCCAGGATAGCCAGGTCTATACAGAGACACCCTGTCTCAAAGAAAGAAAGGAAGGAAGGAAGGAAGGAAGGAAGGAAGGAAGGAAGGAAGGAAGGAAGGAAGGAAGGAAGGAAGGAAGGAAGGAA